TGATGATTTTGATATAGGACTGTAGAAGCTGCAAGTTTCGATGTCCTGCTGAAGACAGATGATGACTGCTACATAGATTTAGAAACAATATTTAACAGAATAAAGCTTAAAAACTTGGGCAGACCAAATATCTGGTGGGGAAAGTGAGTATCGTATTGTAATATATTGTGTTGTTATTTATACAGTTAGTGTAAAGAATTTCATAGTAATCAAAATAGATGTGCTGCAGTTAAAGAGAGTTGACTGTTAAAAGAGGGAAAGATCTTTTTAATGGCATCGGACCTGGATATCTCCGAGACCGCCTTCTGCCACAGATTCCCTCTCACAGACCGGTACGCTCCCACAGAGCGGGCCTCCTCAGGGTGCTGTCGGCCAAGCAGTGTCGGCTGGCGACCCCCAGGGGGAGGGCCTTCTCTGTGGGTGCCCCCACCCTCTGGAACGAACTACCCCCCGAGATCCGGACGATTCCGGACCTCCTATCTTTTCGCCGCGCCCTCAAGACATGGCTTTTTCAACAAGCGGGTCTGGCCTAGGGAGAATTTTAAATAGGGATAATTTTTAATTTGAATCTTAATTAACTATACAGCGACAAATATTTGGTTTTTAATTGGTTTTATGGGGAATGACGTTTGTGTGTTTTAATATGCTGTGAGCCGCCCTGAGTCCTATAGGGAGAAGGGCGGCATATAAGTTTAAATAATAATAATAATAATAGAAAAATCATTTTAAAAACTGTTTTTTGTAAATGTTCTTTTCTGTAAAGCACTATTGAGAAGACATCAAACAATAATTAAAACAGATCTAAGAACCTTGTTTCAAAATGTCTTGCTTCATTGACCAAACTACATTGAGTTATTTTAATTGGTTCTGTGTGTTCATCTGTAGAGTGTCTGAGACAGGGCCTATAGGGCAGCAACAAGTATGCATGTGAATATGGGTGTTTAATGAAGGAGGGAAGGGATTAAAGCCAAAAACTTTAACAGGATTTTTCCTCTCTTATATTCTCCTTTTTCTTCCAATGCTTGTTTCTGTTTACCAATTAGTAAATTGCTGGTAAAGGACAAATATTCATCAGAAATCTGAATTCCTCTCTCACAAATGAACTTTAAAGTTAATAAAGTGCTGTAGATTCCCCAGTCCTGACTTACTACTATGTGCAGATGCTGACAATGAGAATGAACAGTGAAACCTTGTTTTAACTGACAGATTTGGGGTGTGTGTGTGTTATGGGATTCAGAATTGTCTGTTGTGTTGCTAAATATTGTGTGGTTTAATATAATTTGTGCACCAATATAATTTCTCAGTTTATATCATTGTTCTTCAAACTTGGCAACTTGAAGATGTGTAAACTTCAGTTCCCAAAATTCCCTAGTCTTTTTAGCTTTGTTCAAGAGTGGTAGGCCATTATTAGTAGTTGGTTAGGAGACTTCTAGAAAATTCTGGGATTCTAGTTTAGACCGGAAAATGGACAAAAATCTCAACAGAAGGCAGTGACAAACTACTACTTACATTCCTAATTGCCCTGGAATAAACTAGAAAAGAAATCCAAATAATTGAATTATTCCTTTAAGGATCTTAAACCTGTCTACTGAAGAAAAATATTCCAATGGAGCTTTATTTATTTTTCTTCCTCTTTCAAATGTATTTTAATTGAATAGTTTAAGTAATGGGTTCTATCCCAAGGTTAAAACATGGCGACACAGATATTGCTCTCCTTCACTTTATAAAACCCCGACTGTTGTCTGTTGGTAAACTTCTCAAAGCATGAAACGAGTGTGGGTTTTTCTGTTACTTAAGCCTCTTGATGAATTATTAAAGGGATCTATTTACCCCTCCCCCCCTTATAAGGGAGCAAGGGCAAGCTGGGGAATAAGCACACCATCTTTAAGGAAATGGTCAAAAGAGTTAAAATGTCTGTTTGACAGTTTTGGAGAAAGGACAGTTTGCTAGTCAAGCCTGTGAAAGAGAACTTAGGAAAGTTTCCTCAATTGCACAGATAGATTAGAGGACTATTTATTAATTTTGTATTAAAAGAAGAATGTTTTGGCTTAAGTTTCAGATTAAATTGGGCAGTTGATCGGACTGGGAAGTGGCAAGAGTTGGAATACCCAAGTCCTGCATATCCAGCCTTTGCTTGTGGGTCTGGTTATGTTATTTCCAAAGATGTTGTAGAATGGCTAGCAAGCAATTCTGAAAGACTCAAAATATATCAGGTAAGTTTTTTTGATAGGAGAGACGGGCATGATTAGAGCAAAGTGGGATTTTACCTACTGAATAAATTGGATCACTAATAAAAAATTGATTTCTGATATTGGAGTACAGATAAGTAGTCCTTCAAGATTCTTTGTGCAAATTCACATACTTTCTCTATTGTAATGTAAACTATAAAATCAAAATAATGGAAATATTTGCACATTGGTAGGTAGGTGAATGAATGGTATACATAGAATTCTGTTTGGACAGAATTTTCATACTGCAATAGACCACTGTTTATCAACCTCACTAACTTTTAGACGTGTGGACATCAACTTACAGAATTACCCCAGGCAGCAGGATGGCTGGAAAGATTCTGGAAGTTGAAGTCCTCACATCTTAAAAAGTTGCTGAGGTCGAGAAATATCTTGACTTATTCCCCCCCAAAAGCTATGCAAGTTCAGACTTGATAAATATTTAGATGTGAGACCATAGGAAAGACTGGAGAGTTGAAAAAACCCAGAAGGTGACAGTGGCAAACCAGTTCCATTTTGTTTCCAAAACAAAAAAAAATCACAGTTAAATCTATGAAATTACTGAAAATCTGTGAATTGTAGAAGCCGTTTTCTTTATGAAGGTGCTTAAGTTCTTCATTATGCTTCTTTTGGTATAGGGTTGTTAGGCATCTATAATCTAAACAAAGGTTGTTGACATAAGTGTTTAAAAATAAGGCAACATTTATTTTGTGAAGCATGTGCCTTCTGCAGCGAGTTTCAGTTCTGATTTTGGTTATTTACTATACTTGTTTTGGTTCTGACTTAATTTATACACATAGGGTGAAGATGTGAGCATGGGTATTTGGATGGCAGCCATTGGGCCAAATAGATACCAGGTATGTTTAACTGTAAGATGAAATTTCTGAATAAATCTGTATGAATGATAGCAGTAACTTTTACAGACCCCTAGTGCATCCCAACATTTTCAAATACCCCGAAATCAGTTTTGTGGACTTCCGAAATATATATTCAAGGATGGGGAAGAGTCATGAAAATCTCAAGAAGCGATTTTTCAGAGCTACTGACTTATGCTTATAAATATGTGTACGTTTTATCAACCTGGCATTGATAAATACTTCAGATAATTTTGTCTTACTACCTAAAAGAGCCACTCAGTGTTTAATCAAATAAAAATGTAGATTTAAGGCAGAATCCAGCTCTTTCCAAACCAGTTTACAGACTTGTTTTTCAATTGATCTTTCCCTCCAATCTCATGGCAAATTACTTTGAAACGTGAGTGGTTTCAACAATTTGTAATACAGTAATGAGGAAACAAAGAAAAACTTAATCTGCTAAATTCCATTAGTTGCTTTTTAAGGCAATTAAAAAACAAAGAAACATACAAATAACTTCATATTATAAAATGATTAAAGACTAAACTTGATTAAATTACTTGGCTTCTTTCTTACCTTGGTCAATTTGCTGTTGCAAATCAAGTGTAGATTTGTCTGTCAAATGTTTTATAATAGTCTGTTTAGTTATATTCCATGTTGGAATTTGTATGTTTTTTTTAACATAGTTTATGGAAGGACAGCGCAAAAATCAATTTTAAATAAAATATTGCCTCTGCCCTTCTTTCCTTTATTTGAATTGTTTGCTGAGCTTGTCAGTACTTGCCTAAACCAGGATACATAGTACAGCAACATTTACGGTATCTTGCTTTCTTTTAAAACAGGACAATCTCTGGTTGTGTGAGAAGACTTGTGAGAGTGGAATGCTGTCCTCTCCTCAGTATTCTGCTCAAGAGCTTGAAGAGCTGTGGAAAATAAAGGAACGCTGTGGAGACCCCTGCAAATGTGAAGAAAAATGAAGGGTGGCAAACACTCTAAGGAAAACATTAGGGAGGAAAGGAAGGGAAAGCCTCAAAACAGATGTTCCATCAGCCTCCTATGTAGTCTGTTGCTGGTGACAAAAGTATGAGTATGTCGCTAGCCAATTTATGCTTCTATTCCACTGGTTACATACAGTGTATGTTCATTTCAATATGGCAGTAAACTACAGACAAGCTTCACACATTCTTTAAAGAAGTGTTTCATGTAGATAATTTGTCTAGTGTGAAATGGCCCTTAGGGCTATATTTGCACACACATCCCCTTTTTAATAAATGGACTCATTTCATTTTTAAACATACTCTTTTACGAAGCCAAATATAAATGTGAATTCTTTATTAATATATTACAGAAGTAGATAAACTTGACTTTTCATGCATTTAGTGTATACAGGATCAAGGGACTGAGGCTAAACTGAGAAAGGCAGATACAATACTGTACATATTGCATATTAAACTTGCACTTCTCTGCCTGTCTGCCTTGCTGGAGAAGACATTTAACCGAGGCAGACTGCACACATGTTGGCTTCTAAAGAACTGTGGATCAGACTGATGTTTTAATTTCAGTCTGCATTTCAGATATGAGGGAAACAATGCCTCTTGCTGGGAAGACTGATATATTATCATGTAACTCCTGTAAAGAAGGAAGTCAGATGCTGTAGTAATTCTATTTATCCTCTGTGTACTTTCAGCCAACATGTAGAGGGACTAAGACAGTAGCCCTTTCTCCTATATGCATATTAAATACTAGGTTTTTTCCCCCCGTTGAGTGATTTTTATGCTTTCTGGTATTCTGTGGCTATTGGGATGGGTTGGTAATGAAATACCTCAGCTTTTAATTCTCTCAAATATGTTATTTGTATAGTAGTGAGTGGAAGGTTTGTTGAGAGTCCCACTGATTTCCGTAAGTTACTAGTGTAGCACAAATGAATTACTTTTTATTTGAAGCTGGCAAAAGCTTTCATTTTTTCTTACAGGCATGATATTTCTTTTTTCTTTCTTTAAAAAAAAGCAAGAATACAAAAGCTTCTCTACCAAACAGTGATACGTTTTTATAAACAACAATACAATTCCCCAACAATACAATTAAAAATCAGCCTAAACTTTATTAGCAGTGTGCAAGTTATCTTCAAAATGTATCAAAGGCAGCTTTTACCATCGTACTAGAATGCAATCTTCATTTTCAATAGAGTAGAATTGCAAGGGCTTTAGGTCATTGTCCAGTTCAAATTCTTTGCCTTTCATCTAGAATTTAAAAAATGATTCAGATAGATATTAGATTTGCACATTTTAATCTCGTATATCTTAAAAGACTTAAGAGGGAATATAAAGCAAAGGAAGCTAATCGATTTCAAAACAATAGTACTGCTTTTCTTACAAAGAAATCAATCATCCAACATTAGAGTGCAATGTATTGATTTTACCAGTGTAACAAGTTGTATTATTCTGCAAAGTCTCAATTCATGTATTGTTGCATTACTGAATTTGAGCTTACTTTAGAACTTTCATATGATAGTTTCAGTTCTGAGCCTGGAATTTTAAGTAGCCGATACAGCAGTCCTTTGACCTTCTGGATAGTCATAGAATCTGCATTAAAGAGAGAATTGTTTAACTACAGATAGATAACACTTGACGCCACAGCAACTGAAATTCTAGCAAAAGTTGATACTGAAATAGATTTGTGGGAGTTGAGCTCCTGCAGTTCACAGGAACCAATTAGAATCACTTAATTGGACATTAAAACGGTACTCCTCCCAAGCAAAAGTTTACCAAATTATAGACTCTACTTATCTACAACACACTGACTGACCTAAGTGACCTTCAAAATACTGTTTATGGCATTAGCTCTTTTGTACCTTAACACTATGAGTGAAGCCTTTTCCTCTACTTCATGGTATGAGGCCCCCAAATATTTATGTGCTGATTTGTTCAGATTACTATTAACCTTATGCACTTGTATTTCAGATTAACAATATGAACGTGAAACTGTATTTTTATAGTAAGATGTAAAGGAGTAAAAGTATTATAAAACTGACCCATCTAGAGATTGGCTATGCTGGGTAATTTTCCCCTTATTTCATTTAAAGCTTTATCTGAAGGCAAAGCAATAGTCCTCTATTGTCAACAATGTACTTTAAAGTATTTTTCTATTAACTTTTGAAAAAAGCTGTATCATTTTATGCAACTTGTGATAAATGTGATTTTTATTTTGAATAAATACTTTTCAAAATACAAACATCAAAGGGTTTATGGATATCTCATCTTTTAGTTATAATATACCATTATCAATGAGTAAAGTAGAGGGCATACATTTTTACTAGGCATTTTACTGAAATGAGCTGTACATTTCTAAACAAAATGCACTTTTCCATAAAAAAACAGGGACAGATGTTAATTTTCTATTACATTATACTAAGAATCTATGTGGTGTATAAAGAACCATCCTTATTGATGTACAGTGAGGGAAAAATTATTTGATCCCCTGCTGATTTTGTACGTTTGCCCACTGACAAAGAAATGATCAGTCTATAATTTTAATGGTAGGTTTATTTTAACAGTGAGAGAGAATAACAAAAAAAAAATCCAGAAAAACGCATTTCAAAAAAAGTTATAAATTATTTGCATTTTAATAAGTATCTGACCCCTTCGCAAAACATGACTTAGTACTTAGTGGCAAAATCCTTGTTGGCAATCACAGAGGTCAGACATTTCTTGTAGTTGGCCATCAGGTTTGCACAGATCTCAGGAGGGATTTTGTCCCACTTCTCTTTGCAGATCCTCTCCAAATCATTAAGGTTTCGAGGCTGACATCCCTCCACAGATTTTCTATGGCAGTAAGGTCTGGAGACTGGCTAGGCCGCCCTAGGACCTTAATGTGCTTCTTATTGAGCCAATCCTTTGTCGCCTTGGCTGTGTGTTTTGGGTCATTGCTATGCTGGAATACCCATCCACGACCCATTTTCAATGCCCTGGCTGAGGGAAGGAGGTTCTCACCCAAGATTTGACGGTAAATGGCCCTGACCATCATCCCTTTGATGTGGTGAAGTTGTCCTGTCCCCTTAGCAGAAAAACACCCCCAAAGTATAATGTTTCCACCTCCATGTTTGACAGTGGGGATGGTGTTCTTGGGGTCATAGGCAGCATTCCTCCTCCAAACACGGCGAGTTGAGTTAATGCCAAAGAGCTCGATTTTGGTCTCATCTGACCACAACACTTTCACCCAGTTCTCTGAATCATTCAGATGTTCATTGGCAAACTTCAGACGGGCCTGTATATGTGCTTTCTTGAGCAGGGAACCCTTCCTGGCGCTGCAGGATTTCAGTCTTTCATGGTGTAGTGTGTTACTAATCGTTTTCTTGGTGACTATGGTCACAGCTGCCTTGAGCTCATTGACAAGATCCTCCTGTGTAGTTCTGGGTTGATTCCTCACCGTTCTCATGATCACTGAAACTCCACAAGGTGAGGTCTTGCATGGAACCCCAGACCGAGGGAGATTGACAGTTATTTTGTGTTTCTTCCATTTGCGAATAATCGCACCAACTGTTGTCACCTTCTCATCAAGCTGCTTGGTAATAGTCTTGTAGCCCATTCCAGCCTTGTGTAGGTCTACAATCTTGTCCCTGACATCCTCGGACAGCTCTTTGGTCTGATTGATTAATTGCTTCTGTGGACAGGTGTCTTTTATACAGGTAACAAACTGAGATTAGGAGCACTCCCTTTAAGAGAGTGCTCCTAATCTCAGCTCATTACCTGTATAAAAGACACCTGGGAGCCAGAAATCTTGCTGATTTATAGGGGATCAAATACTTATTTCACTCATTAAAATGCAAATCAATTTATAACTTTTTTGAAATGTGTTTTCCTGGATTTTTTGTTGTTATTCTGTCTCTCGCTGTTAAAATAAACCTACCATTAAAATTATAGACTGATCATTTCTTTGTCAGTAGACAAACATATAAAATCAGCAGGGAATCAAATAATTTTTTCCCTCACTGTAGAAAAAAATCTAATTAGAATACTCTGGATTAAATTACAATAGTCTATTTTCCATATATTATATTGATTTGTCTTGCTCTGCTTCAAAATGGATATTGGCTTGCGTTTCTTTTGAAGGCTATGACATTTGCAATGATTTCAGATAAGGAAAAATATCTTCAAAAGTGTTACTACCTATCTTATTGCAATATGCACACAATGACCAAAATAACTGTAACATGCAGGAAATATGGAATACAGATATACTTTTCCTTACCTGGAAGTTTCTTCTCTATGGGCTTCTGGTCAGCTTTGTCGGGGCATTTAAAAGTCAACGCTTAATAAAGAAAAAAGAAAAATCTGTATAAACAAAGTGAATTTAGTCTAGAATTTCTTTTACAGCCAAAGTACACCTAGTGAAGCCAATTGCAGAAATTAGTCAAGAGTTAACATTTCCCACAGATTTTAATGAATTTATTCCAATTATCACTGAATTTTGAACCATAGCCTGACGGAAATAGGATCGATGCAACTGATTGCGGGAGGGCGGGGGCCCGAATAGACCCGTCACGTGCTCATTATCTAAACTGTTAGCTTCACAGAGACTATAAGAACGTGCTTCCCATTCCTGGCTTATATATATATACAGGCAAAAGATTTTTTCCTCCCATATTTGGGCCGACGGTGCATTAAAAAACACTCAAGACATACATACATACATACATACATACATACATACATACATGCAGTACACACACACATACACACACACACACACCCTCCCTAAAGAGGTAAGCACACATCCATTTCCATTCAAATTTTGGTGCATTGACTACAATACTGGAGTAAGTTAAGGTTAAGCTAACATTCATACACTGGTTGGCTGATAACATTTAGCACATTTAATTGAAACAACAAATGTTAGGGTACTAGGGAATCTCACCCTTAATGCTTACGCAGTTAGCCATTCCACAATGAAAGTGACTCATACATGATGATGGCAACACAAGAGTTACCTTTATGCCAAAAGCAGAAGTCAGAATACTGATTAGGTTACAAAATTAATGCATTCTCTCCCCCCCCACCCCACCATTCCCAGATTACAAAGAGCAGGGCTGTACAAAGCATCTGAAAAGGGTACTTTGCAATATGCATGGGAGTTGGCAAAGCATTCTTTATCAAGCACTGAAACAATTACATTTTTCAGAAGAATTGAAGTGGTTTCAAAGACTTCTGTCAATTACAGGGATGAAATGGGGGAGGGGGTGTAATTGCCTTCAAGGGATAATTTGGGCATATCCTGGTGTAATGAAGCAATTTTTAATTGCTTGTTCCTGAGGTGAGGATCTAGTTTAGGGCTGCCACTGCTGAAACACTTGTGTAAAAGAAGTTTTTTAGTTTGTGGGAGAGAATAATGACATTCAAGACCAGGAAAAGGGTAATTGGGTCAAACAGTTTAAGAACCACTGGTCTATACAATCACATCACTGCTAATTAAGGCATGTTTTCTCAGAAGGCATTGCAATTAGATATGCAAACTAGATACAAATAATAGCTATGGGAATACTTGTAGAATCATAATTTGCATTGGGAGGAAAAGTTAACTTGTTTGCAGATATTTACGATTTCTTGGCGTAGTATTATATATTTCAATAAATTAGTAAACATTTGTATCTTACTCAGTAGTTGATTTTTTAGAGAAAAAGGCTGTTCTCTTTTCAGCTCGCCATCTTCTGGGGCACCATAGACTGTTAAAAGGGAAAATTATAACAAAGGTATATACTGAACCAGAATGTTACAGTATAAAGAGCAAAATTCCTATAGGATGTCAAATTTTCCAAAGTTTTCCTATTGGAGCAGGTACATTATACATAAATTTCTGCTTAAGAGTCACAAAGAAGAAAACACTTCTAGTTTTGAACTGCTTTAGAAAATTTGTCAGAAACATTCAGGAAATCCAACTACATATTACTTGTTCAATCAATCCAATCAGCACAGAGCTCTCAGAAAATAAAGGATATTAAATGATTTACATTTCTCAATATAACGCCTAGTTTTGCTTGTGAAAGATATACTGATTCTAAATCAGAATACGTCCTTCTAGAGGGTAGTAATTTAACACTTTCCTCCAATTCACCCAGAATAGATATTAAGACTAAAGTTATACAGTATGCAGAATGGAAAGGGTTTTGTTTCAAACCAGAAACTAACATAGTCTTCTAAAAGCCCTCTTGAACCACTTTAGGTTGGTCTTCGATTGGCAGAAACAAAACCTAGCACTGATGATTGTCTGGATTGTCATCCAGGTCATAGTTGTCTCAAAGGTGCTTTTTTTCTTCAAAAGACAACTGGACTGTTTTTTCTTTGGGGAAGAAAAAAACACTTCACTTCTCATCCAGGAAGGCGCCCCCCCAGCATCCCCGGGGCAAAGGCCCTCTGTTCCGCCCAGAGGAGTGTTGGCCTGGCCGCCCCCACCTTGGTGCCTTTCCTGCCGATACCCAGCATGGCCACAGGGGCCTGCCTGGCATGGAAAGGGCACACATCCCCCCGCCTGAACTCTCTCATACCGGTAGATGGTCCACGCCCACGCTCCGAGGTTGGCCCAATCGCCGCCACACTTCCAAGCTCTACGTCTTCACCCCATGTGCATGCCATGCCCCACTGTTTGTACTGAATGTCGTCCCGCCCCATCCCCTCGTGCTTGCCTACTGTACATGGGAAAAATAAGACATCTCTGGAAAATAAGACCTAATGGGTCTTGTGGTCCCAAAAAAATATCAGATCAATGGTCCTCTCTAACCTTGTGTGTGTAATAAAACATCTGCAAGAAATCAACTAAGCACAGAGACCATCAACGATCCTTAATATCAACCCTGAGCTACAAATATTTTTCTTAATTAGAAACAAAACCTGAAATGGTTTGATGGTTCTACCTTTTGGCCAAAATTAGATCTGGAGGGATGGCAGAGTGATTTTTACAGTGTAAGTAGGGCCAGGCAAGTGCTCAGCTACCCTCTTCCTCTACATGGCCTTAACTTCTTTTCTCAGCCAACACTGATGTTCCAGAACAGTACATCCACTGGGCAATCCAGCTTCGTAGTCTCATCAGCACCTTCTCGTCTTTCTCTCCACTGTCATCATTGCTTGCTTGTAATGCTGTCACCAAGGATAACTCTCATTCTTGGCTTTTGCCCAGTTTCACTCCCCTGAAACACTTTTGTCTACATGTTCAGACTGGGCATCAGCTATTCAAGACCAGCTGCTCAGTGTATGGAAAGATTCAGGCATGGAACATTTTGTACATCCTTAATTATAAAACTAACCAACAGTTCTGAATCCCTTCTTGAAACCTAATAGTACATTCACTGCACGCAAATCGTCTCATAGGGACACTGTTTTTTTAGAACAAAATTTAGTTTGTTTAAAAATATGTAGAAAATAGATGCCATTTGGATCAATGATTTTTGTTTTTAAAAAAAATGTTCAAACTGCCAGTAACAATATCTTCTGTTATCAATTCTGATAGGAGCACAGTGGCTCTTGTGGTTAGGATACTGGGTTGGAGGTTAGCAAACCCGTGTTTGAGGCCAGAGTACTGCCGTGGGGCGGGATGAGTTCGTATCCTTTGCTCCAGCTCCTGCCAGGGACATGAAAAGAGTCTGCAACTGAGCATGCCCTGGTCTCTATGGTGATGTCACCTGTTAATCCTTTCAACCCGGAAGCACCTTGATGCTTCTGACACAAGCGCAAAAATCAATTCTGATGAGTGCCTATTACCATCCTTTAAGTTTGGGGACTGGTATCTATAGTCCTTTACGAAGGGAAGTACAAATAATCTATTCAATTCCTTTTATCCTCCTCTAAAGCTTTTTTAATTATCATCATCTCTCCAATCAGATACAATTCATATTATTAAACTGAAACAAAAACTCATTTCTGGATACATTTACATCTTAGCAAATACTGTTACTGTGGGAAGTGAAAGTGTTTTAAGATTTAAGAGAACTCTTCGGCCTGTCCTTCCTCCCAGAATGAGAATGTAAACTTAAAGCTACAGCTGCCTTTGGAACTGAATTTTAGGGCAGATATCTAGAAGATTTGCAATCCAGGGGTCTCAAATGAAGCAAGTAAATATGGGAATGACAGCAGCACAAGAGTCAATTTTCACTAGAGCATTCCACAACACATTCTAGTGGCTGATGTTCAAACTAAGAAAATTAAGATAGCAAGTAGCTTGGATGGAGCACGTTGGCTAGCCAAGAATTTTTAAGCTAGAGAAAGACAATAAGACCAGTGAGAACCATAGCAAAGAGATTCACTCAAGTTATGTACCAACATAGCAAACGTGCAAAATTTCCTTCTTCCTATTCATCCATCAAAGAAATAGAATTAAGGCAGGCAGACAGCAGGACACCTAAGAGAAAATGCCAGAGGACAGAAACGAAACTTCCTGCTACACTTACGGTCACAGAGTAGCTGAAATCTTGGATGAGCAGCAAGGAATTCCTCACTTGGTTTATTTTTCTTTGGATCTTGATTACCACCAGCCTTTAACCAGTCAATCCCATATTTTTTTCTATAGTCAAGTTCTGCTCCCCTCCTTTCTTCAGGAAAGATCTGTGACAAAACAAGACTGTATTGTATGACATCAGAATACCCAAATCAATGTATATAGTATCATTTAATATTTATCAATATTATTCCCTAAAGAAAGGCGTCTTAAACTGTGGGTCCTAACCTCTTAAACAGTTGTGAGAAGATGGCAATCTCTCCCACTCTGTCCTCTCCGGGATCCAAGTATCAAGACTTTCCTCTAAAGGCCCTTGTGCTCACAGCAATGATTTCTAGGGAGCCCCATCCTATTCTAAGGGCCATACAGTCATTCAAACAGGCTGAATGATCCTGAGCAGTTAGAGCGGGATTCATATTGCCTCTGCTAAAGGAGAGCCCTGGCCTTGGAAATGAGTTCTGGGAACAATTCATCTTTGGTGTGGAAGACTGGCTTGCACAAACATAGTGTGACCATTGTCAAATCGCACCCTATTCTATCTGACAGGAAACACCCTGTCAGAATGCATCCAATAGTGTTAATTCAGGAAAGTCACACATTCATTTATTATTGTTGGGTATTATTAATGCACCAATCAAGTTTTAGAATCCATGACTAGTCATCAGTTTTCAAAAAACATTACTGTATATGCTTTCTTAATATTGCTAATGGAACACAAAAATATACCTGTGATTTGTTAAAAAACTTTAATTGTCCTATTTTGGCAATAATAAGTTGTTTCACAGTCTCTACGTTTTTGTCTGAATCCATCAAAGGATTATTCCGACAATCAAATGATTCCAGTTTTTGTAGCTTGTCAAGTTCATTGATAACAGACCACTGAAACACAGAGAATGAGAAAATGGCAGTTTTGAACCACTGAGTCTGAAATCAAAAGACATTTTGTTCCTGCTTACATAAAGTT